TCACAAGATTATTGTGGGTTGTCATGAAGAAGCAATTGACAAGTTTAAATCACACAACAATAAAAAATGTATCTCCCTACACTAAGAAGCTGCAGATAATTTTATCTCTTTTTTGCTGCAGAGCAAAGGAAAAAATACTTTACACATTTTTCTTGTTGAACAGAACTGGACTTACTATGGACCAAAAGAGAAAAAACATTAAAAGCACAGGAATGCTTTCCACAGCTACTTATAAAACAATGCCTCAATCATCACATGCCTCATTGTGGTGACAGCGAAGTACTACACTCAACTTTTTTATCATTTGCTTAAGAGTTTATCCATTAAAATTACACTCATAATTAGGACACGATCCTGCAAACCCATGCTACCATGCAGAGCTTAGCTCCATGGAAATCCACTTGCACTAGTGGCTAGTAGCACGTATTTGCAGGATCAGGCAGGGATACACATCCAGGGGACTTTTGAGCATTAGATTTGGCTGAGGTTTTGTGTTATAAGTACAAATTTTCAAATAGAAAAAAATATTCAGAGTAAAGCCAGAAGAGAGATAATTTATGATTATCTACTCTGATCTGTATAACAAAGGCCACAAACGTGTGTGCATGTGCACACACACACATTACATTTAGAACAGCCTTTCCAAATGGAAAAAAGAACAGTATTTATTTCAAAAAGGTAGGTATGGGCCTGCACCAAATTTTTAGAGGAAAACATCCCAAACTGTGTCGTGTGGGACGAGCTTTACACAAAGGAGACCGACTCAGACAAAGAGAGGCATTTTCTGATCAACAGCAAACTGCAGCTGCCTGTGGTTTCTAGTGCATATAAATATAAATAAATATCTGAATATTTAGCATCTTAAATACATAGGACAGTGTTGCTTATTCTCTAGTATTGTTAAGGACCAGATTGTGTCTGGCTGCCTAGTGTAAGCAGGGCAGGCAGGAAGGGTGCAAAAATCCACCATCTTATGCAGCGACGTTCAACTGCAATCCACATGCTGTCTGTGTTCCACAGGGCACAAGATACCCCAAAGTTGGGAGGATGCAGGGCCATGACCAGGTGGGCAGGGTGGACTATGCTGCAACCTCTGAAGAGGCGTAGCAGCAGTCATACTTTCCCAGTCTACTGTAGAGCTCCAGGAGAAATTCTACCTCCTTTAGGCAGAATTCCTCCAACATCTGCCCAATGCAGATATGTGCCTAATTGGCACTGGGCTGAGCCCTAACATGCATTGACTGTGATAGCCACGTTACCCAGAATTTAAGGATACACACAGAAACGTACTGAAAGGGTACCTCACAATAACGTTTTATGACATCACTTTAATACTAAAATAAATGATAAGAAATAAATACTTCATCTTTCATGAACACAAGTTTAATATTTGTTTTCATTCCAGATAAAATGCAAGGGAGAGGGGAAGGCAAAAAATGGCAGATGACAACAATCTGTCTTTCTGCTATCTACAGAACAGCAAGCAGCTTGATAATGCGGAGAATTACACCACTCTATCAGAACATGACACCTCTCCCCCTTTTCCTCACACTCTGAGGAGTCATCATTTTTTCTGCTTTAGAAAAGGGAGCATAAATTCTGACTCTGGTATATCTACACTGGTTAGACTATTTATTCATGACTTTCACCTTTTATTATCTTCAATAAGGACTTGTGTTCACTAGAAATTTAGAGAGTTAGAACATGACCTTAAACTAACACAACATTGACTACAATTTTGCTGTCACACTAGGCAGCCACAGGCTGTATTTAATATTATGTGAATGGGTCATGGGTAAAACTTGGTTCCAGTGGGATTTACTCACAACCAGCTGCATTATGTTAAACACAACTTGTCCCTGTGTGCCATGACAGCAAAGTTGTAGTCAGCATCACATTAGTTAACAGGACTCTTCAAGGTTGTGTTCTAGCTCAATGTCATTTTCTAGTGAAGATAAGTCCTTAATTGATCCTAGAGACCCTCCATTCCACAAGCTGACTTTTCATAGCTGAGAAAGCCTGATTGAGATGCCTTCAGTACCAATCAATGTTTTTCTCAGTTTGGACACATGGGTTGCTATGGAGCCCTCCCCTCACTATGGCCTGAACTTGCTGCCTCCAGTGTTCTCAGCTCTTGCAAGAATGGAGAGTAACTTCTCAGTTTTCTGAAAAGCAAATTATTACAGGGTGACTGGCCCTCTAAGGGGAGATGGACACAGCCCCACTATCCTTGCATTAGTTGGAAGAGCTCTCCTGGCCTTCCTGCCTGGGGTCAGTATTGAGACAGAGTGTATGGATGTCCAGAAAACTTGCCTCCTAATGGACTGCGTTTTCCAAAACTCAGATTGAACTTCGGAAGGGATGGACTGCCTGCTTCTGAGCTGCATACAATACACACTTACAGAGAGGACTTGCTAGCACAAGAGAATTGCAAAGAGCTGAGAGCATCTTGAAACTTGGAGTGTTTCTGGAGCTCTCATTAAAATGGCTAATCGTTTATTGGGAAAATGACATCCCAATCCAAATATCTCAAGTTCATAATTTTTTTGTTTTTGTTTACTCTAGCCAGAAACTGTGACTATAATGGAGTCCTTTCCTGTTGTGCTTTTCTAAAAATTGGGATTACACATTGCACTGAAGAAGGGGGATAGAGGAAATGCAGCATGTGAACAAATATGATGCATGAGAAAGAGTGACAGACACATTCATACATTCATTTACTCTAAGTAAATTCTGAGCTGTACACATTTTAATTAAGCACAGAAAGCATATGTTATTTAGTGAAACAATGATGCAAGCAGTCTAGTCTTCAACGGTCTCAAATAACAGGCAGAAAATTATGTATCTTTAAAAGAAACCTTGTCCTAGTTTCCTAACTGCAAAATGAATTTAAAGCACTAAATTAAAAAGGCACTTGAGGGAGTGCCTCACACTGCTTATTTGCTACACCCTCTTCTCCCTCATTTCAAGACTGGGACTTGGATCCCAATCCTGCAGGCTGCTCTGTACTTGCAAACTATTATACTAGCATAGAGTCCTATTAAAGTATGCCTTCCCTGCAGAGTAAACTCAGGTGATTGGCGCCTACTTATGAGTAGCAACACTGCAAAGCCATACACGTGTTACCATGTCCTCACTGGTGCTGCGCTTCCTCACATATATTGCTAGGACTTCTTGAGTCATATCATATGGTTTTTTGTGCTGCAATAAGCTGAACTTTTCTATAATTCTTTCCCAGTGAATTGTGGGAGAACTTGTCTGTCCTTCTGGGCATATGGGGGAATGATGGGAAGGCACTGGAGGATTAGCATCGCTTGAGTGGTTTAACCTGCTTTCTCACTGCAAAGTGGGTGGGTGACCAGCCTGACTGAAAGCCTCTCTTGGGCGCTAGCCTACAGCCCCACTGAGCTACCTGGTATAGGTTGAAAGTATCATTAAACTTGGATTTAGAGTATATTGTGTGTGGATGGGAGGGGGTAGGGGCAAGAACTGAAAGAGCTCAAGTTAGCACTGCAGTGAATACACTCTTGAAGTTTACAGGGCTATGAATGGGTGTGGGGGTCTGACTTTGTGTAGTGCCTTGCAGGATCAGGAGTTACCACAATGCTGATAGGTCGGAAAACCAGAGGCAGCTTTCCTGAGGAAGAGACAGTGTTGCTACAATGTGGGCTTAGAGGAGAACCAAGGAAAGAGGAAAATGTGTGCGATAGGAAGACACTTGCACTCAAAGTTACAGCAGTAGTTTAGGATAGTTTGTGTATGAAGGATTTTGAGCATTGTTTGATTCCATAAATCGTGCTGATCTAAAGTGACTAGCGTTTGGCAGGTAAGACCCTGGGCCTTAAATAAAAATCTTGCAAAATTGTCATATGTCTGAACTGAGCCCAGAGTGAGAATGAAAGTAAGTGGCGACATGAAAAAGAATACTGATGTACTGGAGCAGGCAAATGAAATGCTGAATTTTAATTGGTTTAATTTCCCTGCCTCATTGTTGAAGAATGACTAAGGGAATTGGAGTTTATTTGTGAGTATGTATGTGATGTTTAGACTCCAGATAAATCAAGGATTAAGGGAACAAAACATCGAGTGGGGTGGGGTCAAAGGGAAATTAATGAGACGTGTGTTCAGACAATCCAGAATTCATCATTTTGGACCACATTCATCCCTGGTGTTACTCCACTCACTCCAATTGAATTACACATGGGATGAATTTGTCTTTTTCAGGCTAAGTTTCAAGGACAAGGATATTGCCAGATTGCAATACACTACTAACAAAGGTTAGTGCTGGGCCTGGCATTGACTAATCTGGACCATTGCCAACATATCAGTCTCCATAGTGTGGGTGTTCTCAATAGACGCTCATTCCAAATCTCTGCCAATACATGTAGAGCATGTTTTTGTCATGTGTGCCTAGCTTTGTCTAGGGTTGCATGCAGGGGTCACGGCCCCACTCAGGTTTGGCTTGGCTGTCCCTCCATCAGGGCCGGCTCCAGGGTTTTTGCCGCCACAAGCAGAGGAAAAAAAAAAAAAGCCGCGTTCACGATCAGCTCTACCGCCGCCGCTTCAGTCTTTGGTGGCAATTCGACGGCTGGTCCTTCGCTCCGAGAGGGAGTGAGGGACCCACCACTGAATTGCCGCCAAAGAGCTGGGCGTGCCACCCCTCTCCGTTGGCTGCCCCAAGCACCTGCTGACTGGGCTGGTGCCTGGAGCCGGCCCTGCCCTCCATTATGACAGAATGGTGGCCAGACTAAATCTGAGTGGTGCTGTGACCCCACGTGCCAGGTCACAATGCCCAGAGCGGGGAACTGCACTGAGCTTTATGTTGTGGGCTGAGTGCAGGGTGAGCAAACTCTCTAATGCTCCTCCCGCACCATGGTCTCCCCTGTGCACTGAGCCCGCAACCCATCTACAATCTTCCTGCAATGCACTTGTGGGTCATGACCCACTGTTCGGTAAACACTGCTCTAAAGTAAAAATACTGTAAGGCATTGAAAACTTACTTCTTTTACAAACCATTGGCAGAAGGCAGGACCAATCCATTCTCTTGCATGAATGCCACAGTCTATCCAGACAGCTCTCTTGTAAGGCCGTGATCTTTTACCTAACTAAAAAAGTAAATATTCATTGTTACCACAGCAGGTCTTAGTGCTTATTGACATTTAGTGAGCAGCAATAGTAGAAATGAACATAGTTAATTAGCTACAATAGACATTTTGAACTTTTCTTGTAAACCGTTACAAAAGAGATACAGATCTGTTATTTTGGAATGGGAATTCTAGGTATCATCCATGCAGATCATTTCAAGGTTACAAACTGGAGAACTGAAAAAGTCACAGGAAAAGTCAGAGCTATCAACTCCTCTTATATTGAAGAAATAAGTCCTTATATGCCACTTGGAGCAGGGCTAGGACAATGTATTTTGGGGAATAATTTAAAGATTTTCCTGAAATCAGCATGTGATGTGAAACCAAATTTTAAGAAATTAGTGGGAAAGGATGCAAGGAAAACATAGAAGTACTAACTTTTCCTTTGTAGGCTTTGGCTAATTTTGAGCATTGAATCCCAGCATTTCATCATCAACAGCTCAACAAGAATTGTGTGGCACAATGTTCAGAAGAGGTCAAGGGTTTCTTGTGGTCCATCCATCCTTGAGGGTACTCATTCTATAAGTCAGCTATAAACACGGAACTTTCCAACTCCCTTAAAGCCAAATCTTGCTTGCCTTACTCACACAAATAATCCAGTAGATTGCAAAGAGAATACATACAGAGGTAAAGACAGCAGGATTTGACTCTTAACTTTCTAATGTGTGAACTATTTTCTCACAGGTTATTACATTGTTTATTAAGGGTCTGATCAAGGGTGGTGCTGAGTTCCCGCAAATCCTGCTGATTTCATTAGCAGATGTAGGTGCTCAGAACCTCTCATATAAATATGCTGTGTGGAATAGGTATTTGAATTTGGTTTCAGGTGTTAGATATAACTGCTTTAACTATTTACTTTTTACCTTTAGTACAAACAGAGGTCTCCCTTCATATGATTTTCCAACAGAGAACATATGAACGAGATCTGAATGGGTTTTGTTCAGACGATACATCCAACTTTGAATCTGAAAATACAGACATAAAATTGCTGTCTAAGTCATTAACACTTCTAGGAAAGAGATATTAAAGAGAAGGGAGAAAAAAAGGCTAGTGAGACCGTCAAGAATATGTTTTGTTTTCCAGTTGTGTCCTGTCTGTCACTTAGATTGTGAGCAATGTGGGGAAGGGAGTGGAACAGTCTTCTTTGTTCCATGTCTGCACAGTGCCTAGCACACTGTGGCCCGGAGCCTTTAATAGGGTTCATAGGTGCTATTTTAATACTACTTTTACTACTATGACTAAGCCCACAGTGTGTTTTTTTTTTTATTTGGTCTTTCATTTGTATTATCTTTGTGCTCTAATAAATGCTCTAGACCTTTTTGTCCCCCCTTGCTTCTTCAGTAACTTCAGGTCCAGTCTTCCCTCCCTCTAATTCCTCCTTGATGACACCTCACTACAACAAAGTGACCACTAGCCTCCCCCTTAGAAATCACCAAGAATTTGGGAGGGAGTATGTCTACCTTGAAGACCCCTCCCACCAAGAAGTGGTATGGAGGAAGCAATCTAGCTAGCTTCCCCCTGTGAGGCCAACTGACATTCCCTAAAGACATTAGAAGCTGAATGGAGAAAGAAATCTCCCCTCTGGAAGATGGCACCAGGTAAAGATGGAAAATGGGCTTGTTGGGAGAAGGGAGGGGAGTGGTAGAAGACACTAGTGTCAACAGTTTCATTTTTTGCATTGAGTAGATAGGATACTGCAACTAAACCTCAGGAGTTGCAGATCCTCACAAACTGAACTCAGTGGTTTTGTTTCTAGTGCAAACTGACATAGGTGGATTTCACAGAGCTCTATCTAACACCCTCTGTGCTGACAGCAGTAGGTTTTGTACTTGCATGCACATTGTCAAATGGGAGGATTGATTTTTCCTTCTTCCTCTCCCTACTCAATGTCTCAGGGCCAGATGCTGAAGAGGCTCTGCACGTATAGCTTCAAAGGAGGAGAAGCAACAGCAACAGGCCATGTCATAGTTTAAAAAAAACAATTTTAACAAGAAAATACGCAGACATTTTAAAACCTTGGAGCGTGTTCTTAAGTTGTTACTCAGAGAACATTCCCTTTGACTTCAGTGAGAGATTCATAGAATCACAGGATCATAGAAATGTAGTGCTAGAAGGGACCTAGTGAGGGCATCTAGTCCAGCCGCCTGCATTGAGGCAGGACCAAGTAAACCTAGACCATCCCTGACAGGTGTTTGTCCAACCTGTTCTTAAAAACATCCGGTGATGGGGATTCCACAATCTCCCGTGGACAATGATTCCAGACCTTAACTACCCTTTATAATTAGAAAGTTTTTCCTAATATCTAACCTAAATCTTCCTTGCTGCAGATTAAGCCCATTACTTCTTGTCCTACCTTCAGTGGACGTACAGAACAATTGACCACTGTCCTCTTATCAGCTCCCCACACAGTCTTCTTTTCTCCTGACTAAACATGCCCAGTTTTGTAAACCTTTCCTGATAGGTCAGATTTTCTAATTTTTTTTTATCATTTTTGTTGTTCTCTAGATTCTTTCCAATTTGTCCACATCTTTTCTAAAAACGTGGCACCCGGAAGTGGACACATATTCCAGCTGAGTCCTCACCAGTGCCGAATAGTGTGGGACAATTACGTCCTGTGTCTTACATATGACACTCCTGTTAATACACTCCAAAATGATATTAGCTATTTTTGCAACTGTATCACATTGTGATTCATATTGAATTTGTGATCCACTATAACCCGCAGATCCCATTCAACAGTACTATTGCCTAGTCAGTTATTACCCATTTTGCAGTTGTGCATTACATTTTTCCTTCCTAAGTGAAATATTTTGCACTTGTCTTTACTGAATTTTATCTTGTTGATTTCAGACTAATTCTCTAATTTGTCAAGGTCATTTGAATTCTAATTGTGACTTCCAAAGTGCTGGCAAACCCCTCCCAGATCTTGGTGTTATCCATAAATGTTAGAAGCATACCCTCCACTCTATTATCAAAGTCATTAATGAAAATATTGACTAGTACTGGACCCAGGACTGACTCCTGTAGGACCTATTAGATACGCCCTCCCAGTTTGACAGCAAACCATTGATAACTACTTTTGATATAGTCTTTCAACCAATTGTGGTCTAGGTGAAATTACTATAAGGTGGCTGCACATTTCTGCACATTGCTTATAAAAATGTCATGTGGGACTGTGTCACAAACCTTACCGATATCAAGATATAATTCATCTGAATAAGAGTGAATTTGGCTCCTAATAATAATTTAATTAATACAACCAGTGTCTATTTTTATTTCTCTATTGGTCCACTGAAATCCATGGGAGTTCTTCACATGGAAAGCTTGCAGGCTTGGGCCCTTAGTAGAGGAACCACTATCTGAATACTTTTATCTCTTTGGGCCCCATCCTGCAGACACTTAAGCATGTGAGAAAATTTTAATCACAAGTAAACCTGTGGACTTCAGTGAGACTTCTAATGTGAATAAGGTAACCACGCCCCCAGACTCTGAAGTCAAAAGAATTTAAACCAAAGTCATGTTAACAGTGACTGGTTTAAAACAAAGAAGTTTCTAAGGTAATTATTTAGAAAGGAAAAGGAACATAAGAACGTAAGAATAGTCATACTGGGTCAAACTATTGGTTCATCTAGCTCATTATCCAACAGTGGCCAGCACCAGATGCTTCAAAGGGAATGAATAGAACAGGGCAATTATTGAGTGATCCATCCAGTCTCAGCTTCTGGCAGTCAGAGGTTGAGCGATACCCAGAACATGGACTTGCGTCCCTGACCATCTTGGCTAATAAGCCATTCATGGACCTATACTCTGTGAATTTGCCTAATTCTTTTTTTAGCCCAGTTATACTTTGGGCCTTCACTAGATCCCCTGGCCACAAGTTTCACAGGTTGACTCTGCATTGTGTGAAGTAGTACTTACTTTTGCTTGTTTTAAATCTGCTGCCTATTAATTTCATCAGGTTACCCCAGCTCTTGTGTTATGTGAAGGGGTAAACAACACTTCCTTATTCACTTTCTCCACACCATTCATAATTTTATAGACCTCCATTATATCCCCCTTTAGTCGTCTCTTTTCTAACCTGAACAGTCCCAGTCTTTTTACTCTCTCCTTGTATGGAAGCTGTTCCATACTCCTGGTCATTTTTGTTCCCCTTCTCTGTACCTTTTCCAATTCCAATATATCTTTTTTGAGATGCCAAACCTTGAAAGAAAATATTATAAATAATAATGGATTTAAAAACAAACTTTAAAGGGTCTATATTTTTATTTTATATAAAACATTTAGAAAACTTGCTGAAAATGAATATGTATGTTTAACTTTTACTAGCATCTCTATTCATCAGGATCAGAACACACTTCTAACTAGATAGGGTGAAATCTTAGCCTTGCTGAAGTGAATGGGAGTTTAGATCAGTGGTCTCCAAAGTGGGGTGCGCGCAGGAGGAGCGCTTTATTTTTTTGCTTCATCAGGCGGGAGTCCGAGTGCCTTTTTTTTTTTTTTTTGCTTCGGCGCAGCAGGAGGTGCATGCTCAAAATTTTTTTACTGATAGGGGTGCGTGATCAAAAAAGTTTGGAGACTACTGGTTTAGATAACAGACACCATCTTCATTTTCAACATACTTCTTCCAGTGAGTGGTACACTTCATAGTTGTATCCTGGTACTGATCTACGATTCCTACATGATCGCAAACCACTTTGTTTTTCTATCACTTTCTGTAGATCAGATATAATGATCCTAGATTAAAAAGAAAGCAGCATTATTAAACAGCATGAATAAAATAGAGTGCAGTGCAAAATAAATATCAGATTTAAAGAGAAATACAGCCACAGTAAAATCGTGCTGATGTTACATCATCCTTTTTTATTTTAACAATAAAAGTTTGCAGGCTTATTACAATACATACTGCCAAATAAGTAGTCCAATTGCTTTGAAACACAACAGTGCTTTCAAAAACGGAGGCAGCTTGTTTTTAAGTGAATGAAACAGAATGATGTAAACAATTTACCCTAATTTAAGTGTTCAAGTTATGCTTGTATGGCAGCACTTGTAGCTTACTTTTATACTGCAAAATATGCATGCCTATGTTTTCTCTCCATGTAGAAGTGCTGAACCATACATATAGATACGGGGGTCAGACACAAAACAACAAGAAAACATCAGACTTGGGCATTGGAAATATTCCATCTAAAGCAAAAATGAATGTGTAAATCTTTTCCTTGGTTTATCATGTATAGTTATACTACAGTTCTTCTAAGAAATATTCATCTTGCAGTCAGTCATTTTAAAAGTGTCTAGCAAAAAATGAGAAACAAAAATTGCATAATGTAACCTAAATATACGGTCGCACACTTAGACATAGACAGCAAGAGGGGGCTGGTATTGAAAGAGAAATGCAGAAAAAAGCTTTTCTATTTTTCTGCCAAGACCAAAGAATAGCATAGAAAGGTCACTAACTCATGGAAAGAAGTCTATCCAACATGGTGCAGTGCTGTGATCTCAGCCATTCAGGGCCAGATTCTGATAATACAATAGCTTAAATCAGGGGTACCTTCGCTGAATTCAGTGGCGATATGATATGTCAGTATAAAATTAAGAACAGAATCAGGTTTTGAGAATTGTGGTGCTACTCTCTTGAACTGAGTTGCTCTAGCATTGCAACTAATGCCCCCAAGCGTCATTTTTATAAAATGAGGATGATGCTCAATCTTTTTAATTCTTAAAGCAGCAATGATTAATGCAGAAAAAAGAAATGCTCTATTTACTAATTTCATAAACTACTAACTATATCACTTTAATATGTAATCAGCATATCAATATGTGTACCAAAGTAATGGCTATCTATGTTCTTCAAATAAATATCTCAGGGAAGTAATATATATAATTATGACTGAAGGCTTCTCTACAGTCATATACACCGCTACCTCGATATAATGCGACCCAATATAACACGAATTCGGATATAATGTGGTAAAGCAGTGCTCCGGGGGGGCGGGGCTGCGCACTCCGGTGGATCAAAGCAAGTTCAATATAACGCGGTTTCACCTATAACACAGTAAGATTTTTTGGCTCCCGAGGACAGTGTTATATTGAGGTAGAGGTGTATTTTTAAGTAAATTCCAGGGTTGTAGCCTTGATTTTCTGAGCACTCTGAGCCCAGGCCAACAAAGCACTTAAGCATGTGCTTAACTTTAAGCATGTGAGTGATCCAGCTGAAGTCAGTGGGGTTACTCACATGTTAAAGTTAAGCACATACTTAAGTGCTCTGTTGAATCCTGGGTAGAACGTTCAGCATCTTTCAGGATCAGGTCCTATTTGTTCATCTTGAAGTGTGTGGATTTAAACATAACTCCCCATGTACAGATTTCTGTGTCTCAGAATGAGAATATACTATAGGGTCTCTTATTTACTTTCAGTCAGCACATACTATGTTTACTTATTGCAGCCCAGGGCTCTAACTTCAATTGCAATCAGATGTCAGGGACTGAATAGTCAACCTATACACGGCAGGTACAAGAGCCTGTCACCGGGTGACTGGTCCCTTTCAGAAGAAACAGATCCAGTTTCCCTGCGACTAATTAGCTGCTTGCAAGTGGGATCTCATAGAAGGCACCTGTATATATAACACCTCAGGCACTGGTTAGGACCAGGCGGAAGAAGAGACAGGAAGTGGTAGTGGTGGGAGGAGGAAGAGGGAGAGGAAGAGATGAAGAAGGTTCTCTGGAGCAAGCTGCATGAACCCCTTACAGAGCAGGAGTTGGGAGCTGCTGTGGGGAAGAGCTGGTGCAGAGAAAGAACTGGAGAGCGTTGGTAGGACAGGGCTGGCTGGAGCTAGGGAATCCTAGTGACTGAAAGGCTCATGTAGCAGCCCCTAGTTAAAAGGGAAGATCCAACTCAGCTAGGGCCAGGCTGAACATAGAAGAGAGTGATTCTGAAGAAGCTCAGTAGGGATAGGATTCCTGGGCAAAGGAGGCCTGGGGTATGGAACACTATGGGGAGCCCACTCGCAGGAGCTATTTGGGGATCTGTGAACTGTTTCACATTGAGAGTCCTGTGAATGGATGCACTTATATTAATAAATGATGCTTGGAAACAGGGCTCTTATTAGACTCCGAGAGAGATCTCATTCCTTTCCTGGGCAGTGATAGCCTTTAGTCTGTGGCGGAAAGAATGGGCACCTTGAGTGACTACAGGGACTGAAGAAGGAGAAATTGAGGCAGGACTTGCCTGTATTGCAGAGGTTAGCTGCTTGATGGTGCCCTGGTGTGGTGGGCCCTGTGACAGAGACTCTTCAGTAAAAGTTGATCTGGTGAATAGCCTGTTTTCATGGCCATTTATTGCCAGCTAAATAAGAGTTTGGTAAACTCAAGGGTCAGATAAAACTATGTATTATAGATGAGGCTAGTAATACTGCCTATTTATTTGCACATTTGCTGAGCCAAACAATAGTGTTCTTAGTGGCCAAGTGGAGCTTTCAGAACCCCTGTTGAATTTGGCTAACCGGCACTCCTCAACAATGTTTATCATTGTTTGATCTGCGCAGCAGCTGCAGCTTGGGTTGTCTTGAAGACCCCAACAGTGCTGGCTGACTGCACAGAAGCCTTGCCCAGTTCAGAATCAGTTAAGAACTGAACCACTGGGCGGCAATGGATCTGCGTTCTTGTCGTGCCACCTGTCAGTATCCGGCACAGTTCAGGAAAGCTAATGATCCTCCTAGCAAGCCGAATTCTGCAAGCTCATCCTTGAAGAATCCTGGTATTGCCACCTCCGGTTATCCTAAGAATGAGCAATCTGAGTCTTACTACTAAACATTGAGGGTTTATCGACAGCCAAGAGATCAATCCGCACTCTTGCTCACTGCCTATTAAAGTCGCCTGACATGTCCCATTATGAGACTTTGTTTTCACTTGCTTATATTTTTGACAAATTTTAACTGTTCTGGTTGAAATTTTACATGCCAGGTGTCTGCCTCAGGCTGAATATTTTTAGAAAGTTTTAGCCAGCAGTTAAGCTGCTTCTTAGGGTATGTCTACACTACCCGCTGGATCAGCGGGCAGCGATCAATCCAGCAGGGATTGATTTATCGCATCTAGTCTAGACGCGATAAATCGACCCCTGAGCGCTCTCCCGTCGACTCCTGTACTCCTGCGCCGCAAGAGGCGCAGGCAGAGTCAACGGGAGAGCGGCAGCAGTCAACTCACCATGGTGAAGACACCATGGTAAGTCGATCTAAGTACGTCGACTTCAGTTACATTATTCACGTAGCCGAAGTTGCGTAACTTAGATCGATTTCCCCCCCCCCCCCAGTGTAGACCAGGGCTTAGAATCAGACTAGTGTCAAATACATCGTTATATCATGTTTTTATACTATGTTAAAAAAAATCTGGCCTGCCTGCCTGCTTTGGAGCAGAGACTTGAAATCTGGCATTTGGGTGACCTGTGTATCAGGGATATGCTTTTTGAGCTTTCCATGAAAATCTGCCCAATTTAGGTCAAGTTATAAACCTTTTGAAAAAGTATCATTTTACACATGCTAAGTAGAGATTTCATAGAGCTTTGCTGCTGAATGGTCCAAAGACTGGTTGGGCAAGGAGACTGGGACTGAGGGCTGGTGGATGTAGATAGACTGGGACTGATGGGGTGAGAACACTAGGAATGGGGGCCTGTGGGGGATGGGGGAGGCTAGGACTAGTTGCACAAGGAGATTGGGATTGAGAATTGGGATGGAAAATAACAAGGGGAACAAAATATTGAATAGCTGCTCATTAAGTGAGCACTACACATCCTCTACACTGAATGAGGCAGGGGTCCTGTGGAAAAATATTATGTAATCGCTACAAAATTGGGAAAAACTGGCGAGGCGGTAGTACTGCTGAAAAGGATCTGGAGGTTATAGTGGATCACAAATTGAATATGAGCCAACAATGTGATGCAGTTGCAAAAAAGACTAATATAGTTCTGGGTGTATTAAAGGAGCATAATATGTAAGACATGGGAGGTAATTGTCCCACTCTACTTGGCACTGATGGAATACTGTGTCCAGTTCTGGGTGCCACATTTTGAGAAACATGTGAGTGAACTGGAGGGAGTCCAGAATGCAGAGCAACAAAAATGATAAAAGATTTAGAAAACCTGACCTACAGGGAAAGGGTAAGAGAACTGGGTATGTTTAATTTGGAGAAAAGAAGACGGAGGGGGCACCTGAGAGTCTTCCAATATGTTAAGGGCTCTTTACAGTGATCAATTGTCCTCCATGTCCAATGAAGGTAGGACAAGAAGTAGTGGGTTAATTTGCAGCAAGGCAGATTTAGGTTAGATATTAGGAAAATCTTTCTAACTATAAGAATAGGTAAGCACTGGAAAAGGCTCCCAAGGGATATTGTGGCATTCCTGTCATAGGAGGTTTTAAAGAACAGGTTGGACAAACACCTGTCAGGCATGGTCTAGGTCTACTTGGTCCTGCCTCAGGATAGGAGGCTGGCCTAGATAATCTTTTGAGGTCTTTTCCAGCCCTACATTTCTATGTAATTAAAAACTCTATCATAGTGCATATGCAGAACAGATGAATTCGGCATTTCCTAACTTTTGAGTGCTTGATTTTGCAACATCAATAATGTTTTTTAAAGTAGTTTTTTGATAACCATGACAGCACTTGTGGATCTTTTTTATAGACTTTTGCTGAGACAAGGAACAGCAGCAGGCATATGAATGCAAGAAACTGGACATGTCAATTCCTGTACAAAAATGTAACATAAAAGTTAAACATAATTATAAAAATCACATAATCATCTCATTTTTAAATGCAAGCAAAACTGCCATAATGTAGGGCCTATAGCAAAACAGCTCTGATCTCAGGCTACTAGACCTGCATACTTAATTGTTTTATATTTGCTTTTATTTTGAGGACTACAAATTTAGTAATTTGAGATCATTGTAATCTATAAGGACTACAAATTTAGTAATTTGAGATCATTGTAATCTATAAGAAATAATCATACTGACAGTTACTTCCCGTCAAAGCATACCACTTTGTGTACTTTACAAACATTAATATTTTATCCACACTGAGATAAGTACAATTAACCCCATATAGGACCTGATTCAACAAATTACTTAAGCACACGCTTAAGAATGTGAGTAGTCTATGGGCTTCAGGAGGGCTACTCATGTGCTTAAAGTTACATATATATATATATATATATATATATAACTTAGGTGCCTGGCTGAATCAAGGCCTTAACCACAAGATTACCCTTTCTCTCTACATGAAGAGTATGATCATTTTTGTGGGATGTGATCCTTATTCAGTCTTTGTTCTACATGACCTATATTTTGTGACCAGAACAGAGAGTTATAAAACAAATCAGTGTATTCCTTTATATAATTAAGAAGCATGTGAGCTCTCTCATTTATAGTATACTTTTAAGCAAACCCAACTCCTGTTAAGTGTATGTACAAGCAAAACAGACTATAGAATAGGAGCAGTAATTACCATATTTCTCACAACAGATACAATTTTATATGCATTTCAGAGACACTAGTCTGCACTCTAAAGGAGGCCATTTAATTAAACTGTTTGCCTGTGGGAGACTCTGTTATTCCATAAAATGACTGTCTTGTTGTGAATATCTAGCTACCTGTCAGACAAATTGAAAATATGCTGTGCTGTAACAGTATTTTTGAAACACGCTTGGTATTATAGACATAAACCTTCATTAGAGGTCAGATCCCACATTCCACCAGGATAACTCGCAGGAAGTGAAATGGAAGCTTACGTGTATTTGATGTTTGCTTGTTGCAGGTAGGGTAGCAGAATTTGTGAACTGTTCCCTGGAACATGTACATCTGTGACTGTACCCTCTGAGATGTGGAAGATGCTGCTGGGCTGCCACAGGTCCACCTGTAGTGCAGGAACCAACCTGTAATTCATATTTATTCAGTGTAGGTGGGGAAATCCAGGAGATAGCATGGTTGTAATTTTCTTCTATGTATCTAATATGGCATGTTGTTGTTTATTTAGCATTGCTGGAGTACTACTGCTTAGTGCACTGGTCAAACACTACTTACAGTAATTAGAGAATGACTCAAACTTTTATTTTTGAAACAAAAATGTTTCACTTTCAGTTTAACAATTTTTTTGACCTCTTCTTGATCTGAGCTACCTGGCATCATAATCCAAGAGATGTTTAAATATCCACCACTTTTCTGTATCAGATTTTTATACATTATATAGTAAATTTCTTGTCAAAATCCCTCAAAATCTTGCACATTCCCTCTGTATCAGCTTCCCTATGGTCAGCAACTTTTGTTTTCATTTTTATTTTTCAATAGGGCAATGCAAGGAAAGAAAACTGAGGAGAAATGGAAAGTGTTCAAAAATATATTAATATGGTGTTTGTAAAATGTATGCTAAAGTTCTGCAATGACATTTAGAAATAATATGCCAGAGGTACAACACAAGTTTCAATGCAGAATAGGTTAGCATGGGGCTGTAAAATAGGTAAGATTGTGTTCATACTCAAGGGTTATCTATGGTTTGAGTGTATGGTCAGGACACAGTTCTAACTCAGTGCTGAATGACAATATCTAGATGGTGCTGTGGTAGATAGGAAGAGTCCTACGTTGCCAAAAAAAATGTATATAGAAAGGTTACAAAATCAAAGAAAGATAACATATACCTAAGTACAAGTGTCTGCACCTCCAAATTAATCTGTAATTTTATTTTCTAAATATAAAAGAAACATGGTATATTTTATTTCTGCGCACTTTAGCACTGTTGCCCCTTTTGTCCCATGTGGTTAGCCAATATTTGGGGCCTTGTGGGATTGTTTCTTCTAGGAGGAGAAATCAATGATGAGTCAGGTATATTCTTTGGTGCAATTCTGTTTATATACAAAGAATATACACAAAGTCATTTTCTGCTGAACACAGTAGGTAGAAACAACAGCAAGCTGTTTCCTTGCTCACTATTTTCAAGTCTGACCCTCCAGTCAGTTCTATGCTCAAGGAGTTCTGTCTCTCCGCTCCCTCTCAGGGTCATGTTGATGACCACTTCCCTCCCTGCTGGCTTTTTGCCTCTAACACAAACACACACACACACCCCTTGGCTTCTGCATTTGGCACAATCCCAGGGAAATCCCTCAGACCACCTGGTTTAGCCCTGCTCTGGCTTTGCCATGTGACCCACGGCCTGGACAGCAATCTCCTTTTGTTTCCAGTTAACACTACATGAAGGGGCATTGAATTGCTCCTTCTAATTAACCTGAAAGAAAGATGCTTAACACACCAATCAGCTTTAACCAGGTCTGTGATTTGTTTTTAGATCAAAGAGCCATTTGTTGGGCACAATTAACACCTTCCAGCACAATAATATTATAATTTACTCTTAAAATCCAGACTAAGTTGTGTTTATTTATACATTCTGTAGTATATAAAGGTAATGGTTTGCTATACTGTTTTTTTAACTAATAGTTTAACTTTTTAAATTTATTGAATTAGGTGTGGCACTGCAAGTACCAAACCTTTCCTTGTCCATAAGATCATTATAGGATCTGGTTTCCCATGCCTCTGAGGAATGTCAGGTTCATAATACAACTATTGTTGTGATGACAGCTGTTAAAATGGCCTAGTGAAGAGCTTTTACTGGCACTTTTAAGCCTCTGATATTATGTAATTTATTGCCAGTAACAAAAACAATAGAGTTCCTTTCTTCTTGCTTTATTTATGTGTTCTATCAGTGTGCATGCTCATGCCCCCACACATACTCTAACCAACACTAAATTTGTTTAATACACTTTCAAATAGACCATTTCCACAGTCACTAATATAGTCAAGTATCAGAGGGGTAGCCGTGTTAGTCTGAATCTGTAAAAAGCACAGAGGGTCCTGTGGCACCTTTAAGACTAACACACCAATCGGCATGCTCCCAATACTTCTGTTAGTCTTAAAGGTGCCACAGGACCCTCTGTTGCTTAATATAGTCAAGTCACTTCCAGTGGAATTTTAATCACCAAATGTTTTGATTACTTAACTCCCAAGAGATACACTGACTAACAGGAGGCTATTTTGGATTTGTATTAACACCTTAGCGAACGGTGGGGTATTATACATGTTCAATGCTGGGAGACTGGATGTCAGTAGGTAGCAATCTGACTTCTCCCTTCTTGCACAGATGAAAAACACTGAACGATGGACACCAACCTATGTGCTAATACTCTGATTGAAAATAATAATAATAATAAAACAATGGAAGGCTAAGCTGCAGTAGAGGACAGAAGAAATGATTTAGGCCTCGATCCTGCCAACACTTTCACAGCTGAGTTTCCTCTCAGCATATGAGTTGTCCCACTGAAGTCAGTAGAACTACTTGTGTGTGACATTATTCACCTGCAAATGTGTTTGTAGGATCAGGACAGTAGACTGATGAACATCAACTCCTCCTGTCAGGTAAGGCTTTCTAACTTCTATTATATCTGGGTGGCCAAAAATGGGGGAGCCAAAGCCATCTTCTTACTGCCACCACTCTCTACTATGTAGAAGTGGAGTTTGGAGTTAGTGGTGAATCAGGGCCAGCGTATTTAGAGAGTGAGCACATAGGAGGCCTATGAATTCAATAGGTTCTGAATGCAGTCCTGTCCTGCTGTCCTTAGTTGCACTGATAATGGGCCAATTAAAGGATAAGGGGTATGTGAGAGAGTCTCTAGGGCTTCTGTAAGGACTTGCATGGCAACCAGGAAGAGGCAAAAAGTAATTAAAGCTTTCTTTAATATATTAGACAATAACTGCTCAATAGACTCTCTACTTTGTTTGCTTTTCAGTGAGGCTGGTAAAGAGAAGTGTTACATAGTTAGTGACTCAACCAGTTGCAGTGACCACAGTACCAATTGTAATAGAATACTAACAATACATAACTTGCAGGTTCAAGTTGCACAAATCTCTGGGAAATTGTAACATGTTAATGATCTTGCTGCTTTATTGCAACTGGTATAATTTTACACAAGGTTTAATCCTGTAATAAAGATATTTCTTCTGAGAGTTACTGAATAAAAATTTAACTCAATTGTATCCTAAATAAATATCTATTTTTACAGGCATGTATAAGCATCACAAACCTAAATGTATATGAAAGATTTGAAACAGGTACCATATAGGGTCTTGAAAGAAAAAAAAAGTTTCTTACTAAGCTTTAGAATTCAGACTTGATTCTTATTTCAGAGTTATCTCTGCACAGCACCAAAACATGGAATATCAAACCACTGAAGCTAGTAAGAGTTTTGCCATTGACATAACAGAGTGGAACCAGGCCCCCTCAGCATTTGGGAGCCAGCTGAATACTTTCACCTGAAACAGGTATTTCTAGTTGCTGTGTTGTATGAATGCAATATATGTACTTTGTGGACTGAGACTTTCCTTCTTTATCTTACACCTTCCTGTTTGTTGCTTTTCCTGCAGCAATCCTTGCCTTCTACCCCCTCACTATTTAAGTTACATTCACTTATGCTCCCTTGCACTCATTCATTCTGATTTATCACGATTTAATTTATTCCAACACCATCATGTCCCCTCTGAATTTGAAACATTGTGTGGATTTCTGATTTACCCGTGTGTAAGTTAGATCAGAATCAGGTTTGATGTCTACAGCATCTAGCTACACATGTACAAGATGCTTACTTTGTCTGGAACTCTGCTAGGGAGCTGCATCCACTCTATGCCTCTGGCGTGAATGTCTCCTTGGGCAAAGAAGGCAAAGCAGCATTTATACTGAGTGGCTTTTCAAGCAGGCATTTATCCTCTGAAAATTCATTCAGCATTTGCCTTAGGAACTGCAAGGTACCAACTGATCCTTTCCCCCTACAAGGTACTGTCTAAATTCCCTCAGCAGCAGAGCCAGGATCAGTTCAGGGATTACAATGTGAGCAGCTGCTGTAGAGGCAAGACAAATAGAAGGGAATGGGGGCGTGGTTGCTAGGTCTGTTACTTCGGCCCCTTCTGTTACCCCAGGGAGGGCCTGTGTGCGCTTGTATATTTTTGTAAAAGCTGTTGGAGAATCAGGGTAACTCCATCTGTTACACCAGAATTACCATGGAACAGCAGCTGCAGTGCTCAGTTTACAGATGCAACCCAGAATATCTGGCAAAGAAATGGCTAGAAAGTCATTGGCTTGGAGGAGAGCAGCAACTGGCCTTAAAGGTTCAAATGAAGTAGTTCTTCATTAATGATATTCACCAAAAGGGTCCCATAGCAGATAAATAGCTGGTGAAAGTAGGTCTGAGAATCAAAGTAAACTTCAATTGTCTGGAAAACACTTTGGAATGTGGCATTTGTTCCAATCAGTCAACTGGATTAAAACCATTTATCCTGGGCAATGGAGAGCAGATGGCAGTGGACAATCAACTGAGATATGTGCTGCAGAGGAATACTGGAAGGATGACAAAATGGCTGTCAATAAGCTAGATACATACTGCAAAAAAATTGTGAGTTTTCATTTGAATTGTTAAAGAATTTGCTTTCAACATGCTGGATTCCCTAGTCTACTAAGGTCACTTAGTGGTGCAGAGTGGATTTAAAAGTGCTGGAAATATCCAGTGGAAAGTTCCCCTGGTATAGGGGAACTCAGCTGGGATGGAAAGCTAAAGGGGGCAACTCCACCACCACCAGCCACCTCTCTCTGCACCTCTGGCATAGGGGAGGGAGAGAACAAACAGGTCAGGTGTGTTCTAGGCAGTAGGTGTGCACAAGGCAGGGATGTGATGGAGCAGAACCCCCCCCCCACTTAATCCTTCACTGGCATATTGTCCAAGGAGCTTATACCATTGGCAGAAGTTAGAGTGGGTCCCCTTCTGCTCTAGTGGGGCTGGGTGGCCAAGGATCAGGGAACTGAAGCCATCTCCCTAGTGCAAA